TGCCAACTGGAAAAATGTATTTCCCTCTGTATATTAGTAAATTAAGTTGCTACTTTAAATATAACCTCTTATAAACTTGATTATTGAGAAATCATCATCCAGAAATTAATCAGTGTTCACTATATTGTTGTTGTTGTTATGTGCCGTCAAGTTGCCTGCAACTCATAGCGACCCTACGTATAACAGCCCTAAACCCTGCTCTCTCCCTTACCACTCTTATTGTCTCTGACACGCCTATCTTCATTACCCCAGTGACACAATCAATCTATCTCATCAGTGGTCTTCCTCTTCTGCACTGTCCCTCCATCCTCTCAAGCATGACATCCCTCTCCAAGGACTGATCCTGCCTTGCAGCATATCCAAAGTATTTCAAACAAAGCTTCAGAATCCTTGCCTTCAAAGAGCAGCCTGGATTCACCCTCTCCAGGATGAACTCGTTTGTTCTCCTAGCAGTCCATGGAATATTCAGTACTCTTCTCCAGCACCAAAGCTCAAAGGCATCGGCTCTCCTATCATCCCTAGTTATTGTCCAACTCTCTCATGCATAGCAAGTAATGGCAAAGACCATGGCCTTTATCAGGTGCACCTTAGTCTCCAGACTGGCATTTTGCTCTTCAGTACCTTGGAGAGGTCTCTGACAGCAGACTTTCAGAATGCAATTAATCTTTTAATTTCCCGGCTACTGATACCAGGAGTGTTGATTGTAGAGCCAAGCACCGGAAGCTGTCAACAATCTCAATTTCTTCACCATGAGCCTCATATTAATGTGAATCTACAACTCTGGCATTAAAACTTTTCATAAGGGAACAAACCAACTGTGGTAATTAAGGAGTCCTATTAGGTGTCTCCTTCAGTCAAGCTCTAAGTGGTGGAAAGTCAGCACAAAAGAGGAAGACTCTGGATGAGATGGATTGACACAGTGACTGTGACAATGGAGGTAGGTGTGTCAGAGATGCAAATGCTGCTCCCAGAGGCGACTTGAAAAAAATGAGGAGAAATATTTCCCTCTATAGTCTCTAAAGGAAATACAGCTCTGCTGATACCTTGATTTGACCCTTTAATATTCATTTCATTCTTCTACCCTCCAGAACATAATGAATGCATGTAAAATAATGAAATTGTGTTGTTTTAAATCAGCAAGTTTGGAGTAATTGATTAAAACATAGGAAACAGCAGCATTATTTACAACAGCCTCAAATCGATATGCATTAAAATACAATTTATTATTTAAAGAGTATGTTGTTGTTGTTGTTATGTGCCGTCGAGTCACTTGCGACTGATAGCGACCCTATGTACAACAGCCCTAAACTCTGCTCTGTCCTGTGCCAATCGC